GGGGGGGGGGGGGGAGACCCCAGATTTTGGGGGGGGTCTGTGCTTGCTGGCTCAGCTCCTGCCCGGGCAAGGCACCCCGGAGGCGCAGGGATGCTCGTCGTTAGGTTTTTTTGCCTCTTAAATTAAGTGGGAGGTGGGGAAGGGGACGGTTCATAAAGCTTTAGGATATTTTCAGTTGGTTTTGGTGTTGGGTTTTGGAGGAGGAGGAGGAGGAGGAGGAGGAGGAGGAGGAAGCATGTCGAGCATTCTGTTGTGGCAATTTTTTTTTTTTTTAAACTCGATAATTTCATCATGGGGGGGAAAAAAAAAAAATAATAAATGGCACTTTACATTTACAGGCCTTTTTCTCTTCTTGCTTGTGCCCCAAGTGGCCTTAACCCCTGCAGAGCCGGAACCCTGGTGGGTCCTCCCTGGACGGGAGCGATATCGCCGGCTGCGCTTGGGGACACGGCCGCGCTATGGGGGGGAAAAAAAAAAAATAATAAATGGCACTTTACATTTACAGGCCTTTTTCTCTTCTTGCTTGTGCCCCAAGTGGCCTTAACCCCTGCAGAGCCGGAACCCTGGTGGGTCCTCCCTGGACGGGAGCGATATCGCCGGCTGCGCTTGGGGACACGGCCGCGCTGGGACGCGCCGGTGGCTCTCACCGGGACGCGCCGGTGGCTCTCGCCGCGCTGCCCATCGGCTGCCTCCAGCGGAAGCGAGGGATAACGGAATTATCTTGGCACGAGGCAGCTCTAGATGCGGGGTCTGAGGATGGTGCGGTGCCCTAAATCCTGCCCCAGGGGAGCCGGGATCAGCTCTGAAATATTTGGGGTGAAATATTTGCGGCTCTGAAATATTTGGGGTGAAAAGAAGCAGAGAGGGGTGAAGCTGGGCTCTGCCAGCCCGGGGCAGCGCTGGCAACATCGAAATCAGGCCCGGAATTGAAAAATAACTTTATTTTTCAGAGCTCTTGTGCTCTTTGTGACACAAGGGCTCTGGGGAGGCAAGCAGAGAGGGGTGAAGCTGGGCTCTGCCAGCCCGGGGCAGCGCTGGCAACATCGAAATCAGGCCCGGAATTGAAAAATAACTTTATTTTTCAGAGCTCTTGTGCTCTTAGTGACACCAGGGCTCTGGGGAGGCAACGCTGGGCGCCCGTCTTGGTGCTGTCCCCCCGTCTGTTCCCCCCCCCCCCAGGGGGCCCCTGTTGTAAACCCCCTGGGGGGCCATTTTTTGGGGGGCG